TCAGCTAGTTCTATCGATCTTTTGCTATCAGCAATCACCTGTCAACGGGATTAATCTGGGGAGCCCAAATCGGCATTGGGGTTAAGATTGTGATTATAAGTATAACCTCAGCCTAACTGGGTTCAACGCCGATTTGGGCTCCTTAGAACAATCCCGTTGACGGGTGATTGCTGATGGTAAAAGATCGATAGAACTAGCTGAGAGACAGACGAAACGAAGGATCTGCATGGTGTTGTGGTGAACGCGTTTCTCCCCGAAAAGGACAATAGCGCGTTCGTTTCCCACCGCAGACATCTGCGGTCTGGAGTTTTGCAAAATCTCAGCATCGTTGAAGTTATATTTCGCAATATACCCCACTATTAAAAAGAGTAGGCAGTAAATAAAACGGCTAGGTTTCGCTAATATCATTCAGAGATATCTGACTAACTGATAACTTCTTCGCCGTTGGTGAGTTAGTGTCATTTTGCATTGTGAAATCCTCAACAGCGGTGCCGTAATGATGTCAAGCTGCAGTGAAGAGGAAGTGGCCCAATTAGCTGCGATAATATGTGACGGAAGGATGAAAGCCGGAGACGATGAGCAGAAGGAAGAAAAAGCGCCTGAAGGAATCAAGGAGAAGGAGGAAAGCAAGGAGAGTGGGGAGAGCAAAGTGAAATTGTCAACTAAGCAAGGAGACGTAGAGGGAGGAACCGGACAAAGCAAAGACGAGAAGGAATCGCCGAGGGATTCAAAAGATGCCACTAGCGTCAGCAAGCTTAGCCAGGTAATTATAGTCTTTTCAATTTCCCAGAATGTTTCCGCCATATAGTTCGAACGAACTAATCGAGCGTTAAGTGAAAGAAATACGATGAGCTGTGGTATTTTGGTTCAGGTGGTCAGAGATAAGGCTTCACATTCGCTCTTTCAAATAGATTTCAGAGAATGCACGTTAATCTTAATGCATTTCTTTCGCTTTTTTCCTTTGTTGCAGAAGCCCTCTCTGTAATACATTTTGCACAGATTAAATAACATTTCTACCACTAATTCCCCACTCAATGTTGTTCAACTAAACATATTTTTGAGCTTTAAAATTTGCAAATAAAAGCTGTTAGAACACGTTTCGTCATTTCCGTGTAGTCAGTAGCGCAGTAGTTAGGAGCGCCATGCAATACAATTGGGATCGATCGCGCGCCGCAGACTCACCAAACCATACATCCATCCGGAGTCGGCGAATTAGTACCAGACCTGATAGTAGCACTGGCTCGATACATTGGTAGGCCATTGCAAGTCACTGTATAGACCAGGCATGCACTCTGTCGCCTACGACGATGCGTAATGAAGTCGAAAGTATGATGCATCCCTTAGGGATTGATCAACGCCGAAAGCTTCATATTTTTCATCGTTTTGTCAACCCATGAATCTACTCAAAACTCATTTTTACTGCATAAAGTCGTCTCTACTTGTGCATGAGGGGAGACCTCATGGACCGCAAGCGTTCAGTTCAATGCATACGGTGTTACCATGTGACCGTTGCTATCGATTATTTGACGTTCGTGTGACCGTTGCGGTCGATTATTTGACTTAGCTGAAATTGCTTAGAAGTGTAAGTGCAAAAGACTGCACGATATACCGTTATCCATCACCTGTCACCTGTCACCTGTAGTCCCGTTGATCGTCGAGTGACTTGTGCGGGAGCCAGTAAATCTTCCGTTTTTCCCTGTCGCGTGCAAGAGTAGCCCAGTGGGTTCTGCTCGCTCTAGGGACTCGTCGAGCATCATATCTTTCTTCTAGGTTTTTCCTAAAGTGCTCTGACCATAGGGTCGGTGGTCTTCCTGCAGTGCGTTTCACATTCCGAGGAATCCAGTCACTAACGGCTCTTGTCCATCGGTTGTCATTCATACGCATTACGTGTCCGACCCACCTTATCTTCGACTGTTTGGCGTGCAGAACGGCATCTTTGAGATTTGATCGTTGACTCACGTCGGGGCTTCGGATCCCTTCCCTTACTTGTGTGGAACGGGTTACCACTAGCATCGCCCTTTCTACTGCGCGTTCGATTACGCTGACTGGCCTTTCATCCTGCTTACGCAGCGAGCACGGAGTCGGTTGTTCTTTGTTCTCTTCACTACATCCTCGATGCTCTTGAAAGCTTCCCAAGCCACTCGTTTTCTTCTGCTCAGCTCTGGAGCTAGGTCGTTCATCATACTGATTTCCCGACCTAGGTAGATATAAGTGGAGCATTCGCAGATATTCGTTCCGTTGAGCGTGGGTGGGGCATGCGAAACCAATACGTTCTTCATGAACATCGTTTTTGTGAGATTCAGTGGAAGACCAATCCTTCCACAAACTTTGTCAAAGTCGTCAAGCATACGTTCTGCTTGGCCAACGTTTGGTGTTATAAGGACGATGTCATTATCAAAGCGAAGATGGTGTAACTGCCGACCGTCGATTTTTACTCCCATATTATCCCATTCCAATGTTCGCATGACGTTCTGGAGGGCGCCGGTAAATAATTTTGGCGAGATGGTATCGCCTTGCCTAACTCCTCTTTTGACGTCAATGTTAATATCGTTGTAGAATGGTGATATCTTGGTTGTGAAACTCTTATACAGCTCACGAAGAATTTTTATGTACGGGGTAGGGACTCCTTCACTATCAAGGATTTCCCAGACTGTTTCCATCTCAACTGAATCAAAGGCCTTCCGTAAATCGATGAAAGTGAGACAGAGCGGTCTTTTGTACTCTCGCGATACTTCAATGAGCCGTGTTACCGTGCGGATGTGGTCCATCGTACTAAATCCTCTTCGAAACCCTGCTTGCTCACATGGCTGTCTTTCGCCTAGTGTTCTGTCAATCCTGTTTCGGATGACTAGAGTGAAAAGTTTGTAGACGACAGACATCAAACAGATTGGGCGATAGTTGCCAATTTCATGTAGGTCACCGTTCTTGAACTTAACACGGTCTTGCTGGTCTTCCACTGACTAGGCACCTTGTACTCAGGCAGGTAACGCCTAAAGAGGCAAACCCGTGTTTCTAGAGGACTGGCGCAAGGATCTTCACGTGTTGTGGTCTTATCCTGTCCGGACCTGGTGCTGCTCAATTTTTCGCCGACGAAATGGCATGTCAGGTATCGGAAAGGAGAAGTGGTGGTGCAACATGTACATCCTCCTTTATTTCATATGGTAGAAAGTAAACTTGGCTATCCAAGAGATCTGAGTAGCATTCGTGAATGATTTTCTCCATTGCCTTTCTGGACGCTGTAACTGTTCCGTCTAGGCGCTGGAGAGCAACCATTTTGGTCATGTAATTGGCGAAGCTTCGGTGGGCTTTGCCAATGCTTTTCCCAGCCTCTGCAGCTTCGACCATTACTGCTGCTCTTCTCTCATGAGGATCTTCTTTTATCGTCTGTCTACATTGTTTCGCAAGTTCGGACGTTAGTTCGGGGTTCCCTGCAGCTCGTGCGATTCCACGTTGGCGTATCAGCTTGAGTGTTTCTTGCGACAGACGTCTCTTGGTGAATTTCGAACTCTGAGCTTTCATAGCGCTAACGTGAATATGTTGAATGAGCCAATCCTATTCTTCGTCGATGTTATCGACAACGGCATCTTACCAGCAGCCGACTAATGAATTGAAGAAACCCCAGTTTACTGTGTTTCTGGGACTTCGGTTTTGGAATTTAGCGGCTTTTTCTCCTTTCCGCGAGAATTAGAATCTTGCACAAAGGAGACGATGGTCTGATCCCGTGTAGAATTTTGAGACAACAGCGACATCGGTTAGGCAAAACCTTCTATTTACTCTGATGTGGTCTATTTCGTTATGGTACTCTTCATTGGAAGACTCCCACGTACAGCGATGAGTGTGGGGGTTCTGGAATTTCGAGTTACTATGGATTGTCTTGGTCGCCATAATAAACTCAGATAGCCGCTCACCCTGTTCGTTCCATTCTAAAACTTCTCCAAGTCCATATAGAACGCTTCGACTTCTTCGTCATAATTTGATGTCGGCGAGTAAAGGACCAAGGTTGTCAAAGCCGGAATTGATCCACCTCTTTTTAATCGTAAACGTCCGATTTGGGTTGTAAGTTGTTCGAATGAATCGATGTTCATGGAAAAACTCGTGTTGACGAGAACGCCGACGCCGCCGACTCCTCTACTGTCGCATGTTCCGAGGAACAGTTCTTCTCCGGTGTCATAGGCGGTGTTGAAAGCTTGGCGTCTCCTCGTCTCGGCCAGTCCGATGACGTCGTACCTTATCCTTCCTGCTTGCATGAGCAAGTCTTCTATCGAGGAATCGGATGCAAGTGTACGTGCATTGCAGGTACAGATCGTCACCCTAGTTCTTTGAAATATGAAATCCAGGCTTCCATTGGTCCTGAGATCTTAGCAGCCTCTCCGTACTCGTCCTACCCAACGCTGCCGAATTGGGGGCTCTTTCGGGGTGAGGGGTGGGATAAGGCTCGTTTCTTTTACTGTTTCCAGCTTTTTGATATCCACGTATAACTTGCTGGGCTCTGAACGTAGGGGCTGGGTATACTCACGGGTGGCTTGCCAGGCTCTCCCAAAGTGGACATGGAGCTTATATGTTGAAGGCGACTCCTAATCGTGTCCCATATACTTCCTAGTAACTTGATTGCAGGCTTTTGGCAGAATTGACTCGTAGAATACAATCCGCATAAGCAAGAACGCACCCACGCACGCACGCATGAATACGCCTCGTGAATAGAGAAAGTATGTGCCAAATCAACGCAGTAGAAACAGGGAATCCATCCTCTGGATCCACCTGCGTCTCAGGGAAGCAAAGTCGCTTATGGTCCGCGATTGACCCCCTACCCGCCAGCTGGGGACGCGCCCCGTAGCCTGGCGACTAACCGGCTCCAGATCCCTCATATGAGGTACATCCGTGGACCGTTATCCATACATTGAATTATGTAGCATTCATTTAATTATAAACTCTGTAGGTGTCAGCAAGTATCCTGTTAGTGTGACTGTTTCGACTCGGTTGGTTCATAGTCGTAGTTGCGCATGAACACCCATGTCGCCAGTTCGCTGCGCAATCACTTATGACCCTGCGAAGAAAAAGACGAGAAAAGTACTATTGAATATGAAGTTTGTACTTTCAGTCCAAGCAGTCGACAAAAGCGACAACGATCGAAGTGAGCATACTGGATATCTGCCGTAGCTGAACATAAACAGAAGAAAAACGGCTAAAAATTTTTCCTTTAGGGAGATTTCACACCACCGCTTGTCGTTGCAATAATAAGTGTAACACTGGGCTCGTTTCAATTCGGTTATCATATTGGTTGCGTTAATGCTCCTGGCGCGGTAAGTCGATCGATACCTATGAGCTCTTGGGGACGTCTCAAAAGTCTCGCATAATTGGAGAACATATTTGAAGCATCACAATTAATATTATTCTTATTACTGTTATTACAGATTATTACTGATTGGATCATAACATCGCACAAGGAACTATTCAATGTTACACTTGACAAGCCTACAGCAGACTTTACCTGGTGCGTGATGTTTAAAAAGTGTTTTAATCAAGTAAAACAAAAGTATTCTCTTACCGCTTAGGACTACACAGTCTCTGTGGGGAAGCTTTAGAATAAATCTACCCAGTTAACAGCGACCTCTTGGTATTTGTGATTGCGTTAGAAGTTGGTGAAATTTCAAAAAATCATTTTTTTATGTGATTTTCTGCTGCCTTTTCGTAATCGCAGGAAGGGCTTTACCTGGAATCCTAGAATAGTCATAGTAGGACGTCCTTACTCCTTAGTCCTTAGTCCTCACTACTAGCAGTCGTCCTCCTATGTGGATCGCATGGATGTTTTCTACAATGAGACTAGGATTTTTCAACAATAATATCGATTCTTGCGACTAATCGACCTGAAATGGTGATATAACAGCCTACTCCCCTCATTCCTCATTACGCAATGATATCTAAAGGAATGTCCATTGAATAGCTGATTGATCTTCGCAGTTTAATACAGCTATTCTTGATAACGTTCTACCAATTAAGGGGTGCAGTAGTGCAGTAGATGAGCATAGTGATGCCATCGATCAGGGAAGCAAAGGCGCTAGTCCGACGTACTCGAACGCTCTCGAATCCACATGGGAACGCCTTAACCAAACTATCTGGGAAAGGAATTTTAATTATTAAGGCGATGGGGGAAGACCTGTATAATGTTGCACTATCACTCACCCAACAGACGAGCTCAGAAAGCATTCAATCAGTTCGGATAGGATAGATTTGCATAGCTTTCTTTGATAAAGATAGAGTTTCTCGTTCTGTTGGTCTGAAAATGGCGTTATAGGCTTAAACATCCAATTAGCTTCACTAAAGTCATATTACCACTAAAACATGAATACAGCAGTGAATTTGGATGAGTTCACTCAACGCGTTAAATACTACTCTTATGTGCTATATAGAGGCGCACGTAGTGCAGTGATTATAGGTGTCCTACAATAAAGACTGGATCGATCATTGGTTTGATCCCGCATGCGTCCCGAGTCACCAAGGCCTCCATCCCTCCGGGGAAGCATTAAACCTGTGACTTAATAGCGTTCCGGGTCTATACGGATCCTATAAAACAAACGAAGAAAAACATTATAGCATTTGCAAACAAAAATTTTTTTCTTAAGTGGTTTTTTCCTGTAGCGCGAGAAACTTTTCTCTTAAATATTCCTAGCTCCGTATAAATTTGCATTGCTGGCATGACCTTCGTCGTTGTTAAGGAGTAGTATCGTGGCAGTTTTCGGAGTGGGTGGAGCGATTGGCGGGTTGTTGTCAGGATTTCTGGCTGACAGATATGGACGTCGTGGTGGCCTTCTATATACGAACGCCTTAGCGTTTTTGGCAGCTGTTCTGATGGGCGGCACGAAGATAATCGGGATCTACTGGACGTTGTTGCTTGGACGACTATTCATCGGAATCTACGCCGGTAAGAGATTTTTTTGCTGGTATCTCTTATTCATTAATTACAACTGTTATTCATTGAACGAAAAAAGTTGTTAGAAAGGGAAACAACAATTAGGTGAATGAACATAGAAGTACACAGAATACCTACGTCTTAATGCGCATCTAATGCTGTTCTTATTTTTTCTTAGCATAAATAGAACAATTGGAAACTCTAACGCTCGTTGCTTTTCCTTCCGTGATTCTATTTTGCGTGCCTAAAAATGAAATAGCTCTAATCGTGAATCTGTAGCTATAATCCTAATACTGGTATAACTGAACATCGCCACATTTCCTTCTTTTCTCAAAAAATCCTTCGCAGCTTTTCACAGGTTTTGTTTTCCTCCTATGGTATTTTCTTCAATATGATTTTTTCTCGAAGAAGATAGAAGCTTCGAGTGCAAAATCAAAAGTGAAGGCGTATAGCAAAAAAGCCGGGTAGGAGACATCACATATCGCAGGTTGTCGTGGCCGTCCACCTGTGCTTGCATGTCCTATACTGTCCCAATAAAATTCCTTCAAAGTTTGTAACCATCTGACAGCATGCTGATTAAGCAGTGAATGAAGGTCTTTATCTTTTAATAACATCACAGTTATACTAGATTTTCAATGTTTCGGCCATTTCACATTTTGAAGGGTACCGTGTGCAAACATAAGCAGCGAGTGGATGGGAATTGACAGCATTTCTTTGGGTGTTTAAGCCTGAATTTGTCAAAACTGGATGATATGTCATTCTTATTCGAGGAAGGATTTCGAACTAGAGAACTGTTCGAACTATAGCAAGCGTTCTTTCTGAGACGTTATGGAGACAAGTCGATACAGCTGTTAATGAAATTGTGGGAGAACTTTTGGATAACTTTTCGTCCTCAAGGCATCGTAGAACGATCCAGGCTTTTACTTTTTATAACCGGTTTAAGTTGTCTTGCAACTTTTACAATATAAGTCAGTGCAGCTGTTTTTTTCATTATGAGTTTTCGTTCACTACATTTCTATATCACTTCGCAAGTCTGAAACAGACTGGCATTTTCTTGAGGCTAGGGTAACTATATACAGCATCATCAACTCGTTCAATTTCCAAAGACTAACATATTTGGATGAGCTTCAAGCTATAAGCTTGTGCACCACAGTGGTAAAGGTTTTGAATGAGTCGATCGCATTTTCACTTGTCCATTTTATTAATAATGTATTTTTGTGAGTGCAACATGAACGTGTAATTTACAAGACTCCGTGCGGTAGCACACATGTACGCGCGGCCGGATCGAATTCCGTATTGTGAGGAGGATCTACAGAAGTGAACTATATCTATTATTATTTATTTCCTGACCTGACATCACAGGTAACACATTGTGCAGATCGCAGCCCTTTTTGTATGCGATTCGTTTCCCACAATCATCGTCGACGAAGATCTCTGAAAGTTTTTGCTCGTGGGTGTGCTTTCTGTTTAAGGATTTTCATCTTCCTGGTAAATGTTATTGAACCCCGGTCGAGGTGATTTTTTTATGGAATTTGGGGCAGACGTTCTAGAGAGTTCCCATGTTTTAAGAATTGGAAAGTAAGGGCTCCATGCTGATCCATAGAGATTGCCACAAGACATAGTATTGTTCGTCTAAAGTGACCTATTTTCGGAATTTCTTTGCTCACCTGACAAGATGATGAGGTAATCTGAAATTGTTGGCAAATGTCACAGTGAGATTTAATCGTCATTGTTCACAACAAAATTATTCAATTCCTCTATAACATTCCTCAAAGTAATGATTTTAAAGTGACCTATTTTCGATCAACTGATTAAGTGATCGCCTGTATTCGGCTAACGTTTTGACGCCTTCGTCTTCTTCGGAACTGGCGTGATCTAAGCCGATAGTCCACAAGTGGTCGCCCTCGCGATGTGGTTGTTCGTTGTCGTGTCGTGCCGAATACAGTGAATTGGAACACCCATTGAATCAAGAATCTCACTCGACAGTACCCTCCTATGCAGGACCGATGTTAATCGATTCCCACCATCCTAAATGATTTACTTTTTGTTGGGTACTGCGAGCTATGACAGTCGGTAATTTATTTATTTGCACGTATATTTGGCGATATCCTAGAACCGGCTTTAATATTAAACCTCAGCAAAAATCATTAGCACCTTCTTTGATCATTACGATAACAGGAGTTTGATAAAAAAAAAAAAGGCTGTCTCTATCACCTGTTCTCCGACTGACACCCATCTGACCCGAGCGAGTGCCAGTAAACCTTCCATTTCTCCTAGCCGCTCCAAAAATAGCCCACTGGATTCTCGTCGCTTTAGGAGACACGTTGATCACCACATCTCGTTGCAGGATTTTCGTAAAGAACACTGACCATCGCGTCGATGGTCTTCCTGCTGCGCGTTTAGCATCTCGAGTAATCCAGTCATTAGCGGCCCTTGTCCATCGCTTGCCGTTCATACGCATTATATATCCACCCCATCTTATCTTCGACACTTAGGTGTGTGGTCGTCGGAGTTTCAAATCTACTCTCCCAGGTTCATAATAGGAAAAACTACCTCCATCGTTCTCTTAACTTCGCGTCTTATAACGCTTAGTGAGCTTTCATCTTGCTCGAGTAGTCACCGTCTCTCTGGCGCATATGTTAAGACAGGGAGAATTGTGGAGTCGACAAGGCGGGCACTGAGTCGGGTGTTCTTTGTTTTCTTCACTATATCCTCGATCCTCTCAAGCCGCTCGTTTATTTCTGCTCAACTCAGGAACTAAGTCCTTCATCATGTTGATTTCCCGACCTAGATAGATGTAGCTGGAGCATTCGGAGATAATTCAAAAGACCGACTTTCTATGAACCTCGGCATAAATAGTTGACAAATTTATTTATATAATCTTACAAAATAATCTTTTTGAGCTGTTACGAGTTTAGTATAGGTCCTCGTTGTCGTTGTTGTAGTCGTCGTCGTTACTGTTGGTGTCGTTGGTCGATGGTTGACGTCTCGGCGATTTCGCCTTCCTCAGAGCCCAGAGTCATGCTGTTACGAGTGGGAGTCCCACATCGACCAACAACACCAACAGTAACGACAACTACAGCAACAACGACAGCGAAGACTTGTACCAACCTCGCATCAGCTCAAAAAGATCAGTTTGTAAAATCATATAAATAAATCCATTGGGAGATATTCGTTCCATTGAGAGTAAATGGGGCATACGAAACCAATCCGTTCCTCAAGAACATCGTTTTTGTGATTTAGATTTAGTTATTTAGTCGAAGAACAGTTTTTCTACAGACTTTATCAAAGTCGAAAAGCATTCTTTCCGTCTAGCTAGTGCTTGATGTTAGAAGAACGTTGTCATAAGCAAAATGAAGATGGTGTAATTGCAGACCATCAATTTTTACTCACATCTTGTCCCATTCCAGTGTCCGCATGACGTTATCGAGGGTGGCAATGAATAATTTTTGCTAGATAGTATTTCTTTGCCTAACACCTCTTTTTATGGCGATTTTAACATCTGTGTCGTTTACTTGCTCAGCGAGGTTGTCATACAGCATACATTTACTTCCATACAAAAGTACACAACAAAACAGTAGCTGGCGTGTAGGCAGAATCGCGTTCCTCAGAGCCTGGATGGATATACTGGTATACAATTTACTAGGCCAAACGCTTCACTAACACCTACAAAAAGACGAAAAACTCTATGGCAATTACATGATCGACAGCTTCTCCAAAAACACACCGCTTTTTATGTGACTTCCATTGAGGAAGATTAGAACAGCTGATTATAGTCGCATATGGTTGACGACTGCACCATCTCACATCAGAAATTGGTGCGAAGATATGGGGCCAGGTCGCATGTGACCTCTGGGCATTTCTACTTGCTATTCATTCTAGGGTTCCTGGTATATACCCAAAAACCTTTAGACGTTCGCGCGCTGTTGTTTTGGCAACCTTACGATTGCTAAACAAGTAAACGACGCATTTATAATCCAATGCCGAGGTTAAAAGGAAGTTGAACCTGGAAACGATGTTAGTACTTTTATGGTCCACCATCGTTCTCTTTCGCGTTATGGGTCTTACTAGTTGTATCAAGTCGAATACCTCAGCGAAGTACCACGCGAATGAAATAATCCACACCTTCACAAAAGTATGAGTGAAAAACCTTCTTTAAATTGAAGGAAGTGAAACAAATCGATCCCTCGTGCTGTCGTGGCACTTCGCTGAATTTGTTGACTTGGGGATATGATCTATTGTACTGAATTCTTTCGGATACCCTCCTTACTTAAATGGCTGTCCTTCGTCTAGTGTTCTGTCAATCCTGCTTAGGAAGATTCGAATGGAAAGTTCATAGACAACAGACTGCAAGCAGATTGGGCGAAAGTTGTCGAAATCGTTGAAGTTACACTTCTTAAACAATAGCACACTCTTACTGAGCTCCCATTGAATAGAAACTTTGTATTCTGACTAGTGACGTGTGAAGAAAGAGATAGTGGGTTTATGAGAACAGGCAGAAGGCTCTTCAGACGTTTGTGTTATTTCCTGTGCAGACATGATGTTGTTCGATTCTTCACTTACTAAACGACATGTCGAATTTCGAAAGGGAGAACCGGTGGGGCGACAAATCCATCCTCCTTTACTTCTCATAAGGGAGGAGGATGTGGCAATTGAAAAGATCCGAGCAGTAATCGTGAATAGTTTCCTCCATTGCCTTTCTGCAAACTGTAAGTGTTCTGTCTGGGCGTCGGAGTGTAGTCATCTTTGTCTTGTAATTGACGAATTTTCGGTGAGTTTTAGGAATGCCTTTCCAACCTTTACTGATTTAACCATATTTGCTGCTCTTCTCCCTTTCAGATCTTCTTTGCCTGTTGCTCGTACTATTCAATGTGAAATCAGATGGTCGTGCTGTAAAAAAAGACATAGGAAAGATTTTTCCATCGTAGTTTTCTAATGACGAGCTATTGAATGTTTTAGGCTTGACCGTGATTATTCCAATGTATCTAACAGAAGTGCCACCAACAAATCTTCGTGGCATGATCGCATCACTTCATCAGCTGCTTATCACAATAGGAATTCTTGTTTCACAAGTATGAATTTCGTTCAATGGATCGTATTCGATGCAAATGTAACAGTTATGTTTCAGATATTTGGCTTGCCGTATATTTTTGGTACACAGGAGAGATGGCCTCTTATTTTTGGATTCACTGCAATACCCGCTTTGTTGCAAGTGATGACTCTGCCGACTATTCCTGAATCACCGAAATTCACACTTTGTGTTAAAGGCAACGTTGTACGAGCAACGAAGGATCTTGAAAGGCTTAGAGGAACAGCTACTGTGGGCTTTTTTTGTCCATATTAAAGACCATGTTTCGTTCCAATTTTTCATATGATGTTATTATGACTGAAAATATGAACAATGTATACAATCAAAAATGACTTATACATATCAATTTTGGCGACTTGATGAGGAATAGGTTCGTTAGTAAAACTCTCCAAGATCGATCATTTAATATCGGGCAAAACAAAAATATTTGTAGAAGCTTGGTGATTTAAAACGCTACAACTAATTGATTGATCCTGTCCATTACGTAGAAGGCACAACGTACAGAGACACTAGTTCGAGCCCACCCCTGGCTCTTTGAACATCTCATCTCACCGGGATCACTAACTTGGTACCAGACTTGTCCACGACAACCCCAGTCACACTAATCCACGTCGGAACCCTCTACCACGACTACGCCAGAATTACAGGGAAGATATACTCGACCAGCAATCAAAGGCACTCTTGACTAGAACGAGAAAATCACCAAGCAGCAGTTGACGCCACACGCAAAAAAACATCGAAGACCTTTTTTGATGGTGGATACGAGGAAACGAATCGTGTAGTAAAAATGAAATAGAATAAATGGATTGCTTGGGAACAACGGCCATGCCTCCTTTAATAAAGTCATCGGTCATCTCCTTAATATCAAATAAAACCTGTGAAAACACGTTAATTTACTTTTCAAATGCTGTCATTTTGTTAAGGTTACTGCCGAAGTGGATATGATGCGTGAAGAAGCGAACGCTGCAAAAGGCGCTTCAACTGAAGAAGAGCGGCTATCACTTGCCGACATGTTTCGTGGTAATCTAAGATGGCCAATGACAATCGCTATGTTACTTATGGTGTGCCAGCAGCTATCAGGTAGAAAATATTTTATCTCTATAAACTATAAACTCTCTAGAAAGGTTAATCGCGGATTAGAATCTACCCTACGCTCTGAGTTCTGCAAATGTCTCATCATCATTGTGGTTATATTTTGCAAACTATTCGATAGTGATCAGTTTTACAGCCCAAATATCTAGCTCAATATATTGGTAACTGTGATTTTTATTCAACGTTCTTGCTAATGATGACTTAGATAGTTTTTAAGGCATCAATGCAGTAATGTTCTACTCAACGGTGATCTTTAAACAAGCAGGACTAGGTGAACAAGGTGCTGTCTACGCTACAATCGGTGTAGGATTTGTTAATGTACTGATGACAATCATATCCGTATGGCTGGTACGTGAATAGTTTTCTTCCGTCACTCATTTTTATTTCATTCCTATGTTTTAATGCATTTTCACTTTCATCTTCCCATGTGATTTGAATTTTTCTAAGTCTTAAGAAGTAGAAATCAAGATCTCTTGACGTAAAATTCCTACCTAAGTCTAGAAAACAGTTCAGAAACGATTTTAGCAGTAGTATTCGTTTTATCTACTTGACAGGTTGATCATCCGAGTGCTGGACGCCGTACCCTACTTCTTTGGGGTATGGCTGGTATGTGGATATCGACATTGCTATTGGTAGTGTGTATTTCGATGAGTATGAAAGGAGCTCTATGGGCCAGTTATGGTGCTATTGTGTTCATCATGTTGTTCGTAATCTCGTTCGCAGCAGGAGCAGGTTGGTAACGAGTACTACTATAAAAAGGCGTGTGCTTATGAATTACATGACCGTGTAGCTTTGTAGAAGGCTGTCATTTGCGAAGCTTAAGGTTTTTTCGCAAAATTCGAGCTCTGCCGCAAGTAACATATTTTCTACGCATCATATTCTACGAGTAGTTTATTCACATTCGCCGTATTGTAGCCAATAGTAACAAATGTGAGCACTTAACTGAAGAAACTAATCGCCTTAAGAAAAGGAAACACTAATTGGTCTTCCCATTTCAAAAGAAAAGGGTTATCACATCAACAAGCCAGTTGCATGAAGTCGTTTAATGTGTGAAGAATCAATAGATATGCTTTGTACGCGTGGTTCGTGACATCCGCTTTGTACATTAAAAGTCAGCAATACCTGTCATTATCCTATTATAGGATCGATTCCATGGTTTTTCGTATCCGAAATCTTCTTCTCTAATGCGCGTGCTAATGCGAATTCAATCGCAACCCTAACTAACTGGCTATCAAACGTTGTAGTCGGACTGACGTTCCTTCCAATCAATGTGAGTTCTGTTCCGTAGATGGTAGTCCGCAATAAAAATTAATATTTTGGTGATTTGAATACGATTATGGTCATCGGTCCTTCGGGACATTTCTTATTCAGTTGAATGTCGCCAATGTTTTTTCAACGTTTAAGTGACGACGTGGTCTATGTAGGAGCCATTAGTTAGTGGACACAATGGTCGCCATGACCTCCAGGTGTCAGGTGTCATTGCGTGTGGAGCAAGAAAACTAGGCGTCGCCGCTTGACTGTGAATGCTACCAGTGTTCGGACTGTTATCACTTCGTTGCTTTCGTTTTCCATAATCTCTTCTTTTTTCAGAACATCATTCATCAGTACTCATTCCTTGTGTTCACTGTGTTGCTTACTTTATTTATTGTGTTCATATTTAAATATATTCCTGAGACAAAAGGCAAAACAACGGAGCAGATCACCGCCGAGCTTCTTAAGTGAAAGTAAGCAACGTCGTTTTTCACTACGTCTCTTGCCCTCGTTTCCATCTATGCCAGTTGCAATTTGCCGAACTATTGACGATTTCTTACTTTATTACGGTTAGTCGTTGTAGTTAGTCAATCATTATATCCATATTCAATAAATGTAGGCAAATTTTTCACTATTTTCTTTTGCCTCGCCACAGCTGGAGGAATTTCTGATGGCACAGACGCCGTTTTTTCTTTCTGAAGCAGTAATAATAATGACAGGAATGATTACTTCTAGTAGCGAGCGTTTATGGTCACCGCTGCATATCATTGTTCGCCTCTTCCTGACGGCACGCCTTTTCTCTGCGACGATCATTGGTAGATTTCCGATCATAGCAAATATTGATATATTGAGATTCGAACTTCAATCCTAGATTTTAAATTGATTTTCTGATTCGATAGATTCATAAACCCGAGTGCGTGCAGGAATCGTTAATCCCAAGCAGCACAATACTTCATTATCGTGGGTAAACCACTACTAAACACTAAAGTTTATATGCGCTTAATGATCTGTTAGAAGCGCGTAATAACGGTGGTAGTAATCCTCGCTCAACACGAGCATGACTCTCGTCCTACCATTCCACTACCTAACCAAATCTGTCATTCTTCTGTACTTGGAAATTTGGTATCGCACTTGTTTGAGAGGCTTCTTCCAACCCACAAAAGCTGGTAAGGTCAATGCGTGTGTTAATATCTAGGAACGCCGTAGGACGGGTATTCTTAGGTCCCAGGAAGAAGCGGCTTAACCATAATTTGACAAAATTCATGAAGAAAACCAAAATCCTCGCGTATCAGCTGAACCCGTGCGCAAATCCAAACTGCTAGATCATCTTGCGGGGAAACGAATAGGATGGAAAAAGTGTTAGGAACCGCAAAATGAGTGATTCAGGTCATTTAATAAAAGTCGATAAGGAAAACAGAATGCTAACTGTATAACAGAGCAAGAGGTGGAGAGAATGTCGATTTTGAGTCTTCGTATGAGTTCTCGCATTTATTGTCAACACTAAGACATATTGCATACCGACAGGAACTTTTTGAAGAGAATTTTTGAAATAGTTTAGTGGTCTGTGAAGCACCAGTGTTTGTGTTCCTGCTTGAGTTTTTTTATACGACTCTTTCATTCACATCTGCCATGCGGATCCCAACACTGCGTTTTCGAGCTTTTAGATTTTGCTTTCATAATGAATCTCGTTGAGTAGTGGTGGTTTTGATTCTTCCTCGAATCCTGAGATAGCCGGACTAGAGCGTTACCACTTGGATTAGAGAGTGCTTGAGTTTATGCGAAAAATAAGAACGAAGGAAATCGTATCCTTCTTATCCTGCCATAGATTCACATCGCATTAACAGAGAACAAATTTTAGGGATCGCTGAGAATCGATGTCAACGTTTCCACGAACTATGTTTGGTTCAATTTTGCGTTTTGTGGTATCTCGGAAATGGAATAAATATTGTTTGGAGCGTGTTACTAGTTTACGCGTATGCAGTACATGATCGAAAGAATTCCTTGTTACAATTTTGCTTGGAGCTCTTTGGTCACTGTAGCATGACTGGTCACTTCGCTTAGTTCCATCCAAGCGTTTGCGATCACGATTTTGCCAGTTTCTTTGACCTGAAACTTTTTACACTCAAATTAGTTTACGGACGAAGAAACTGGTAATGAACGAACAATAATTGATAACTGAAGTGTGTAGTGCAGCGACTAGATGTGTACTCCAGTACACAGCTGTTTGTTGTTTCGATCCCGTGCCACGTGCCAAGCAAATCTCTGATCCCTCCCAGAGTTGGCAGATTTGACCCAGATTTGTCCAGAATGGTAAACACACTATCTTAGAAGATGGGCAGGCCTCCATAAATCACTGTATAGGTCAAATATATATTCGATGACTTATATGACACATCATGGAGCTGACTTCATGAAGCTTGAATAAGCAATCAGTCTATGTCTATTCATGTTGAATAATTGTGCTGATATCAACGTTTGACAGCACAAAAACCTGCCCAGGACCAATTATAGGTTCGAGGGAATGACAAAAATCTGGTACAATGATGAGTTTAACTTGACATCATTAACATGAAATTGCTATTTGAGCTATTACATCGTGCATTCGGTCGACCAACCGCAGTAATCACTGCGCTCCTAGAGGAGTCTTCCTTGTCGCAAAGGAACAAATCCTTTTCCGATCCATAAGAACCGAAAATACCGACAACTGTCTCTGGATAAGACAAGAAATCCTTGTGTGATTATCTCAAGATTTCAGGTAAAGCTTCTAAACCATCATTCGCGAGAATACAACAGACACTGGAACCGGAACCGACTGCACACCAACATGACTACCTCTTTACCTATGACGGGCAATAAAATGAATGGAAAAATTATTAGGACCTATACAAGTGATGTCGGGGCATCCATTTCGTCCCAATGCGAAGCAAAATAATAGAGTAACTAAAATTTGAGGTCCTAAGAATCCAAACTTCAGTATCTTGAGAAATCGCTGACAAACAGTGAATTTGTCGTATCATTTTCCTCAACTGAGGTGTCAGTAGCTTTCAGTGAGTCAATTCACCGTGTTTTTCCAGTTATTTTTACAAATAATTTTGAGGACATTTCAATACTGGTTTTGGCTTTTACAAACCATTTACCATAAGAAAGGATAAAGGATAAAGCTTTCGGCATTGATCAATCCTGAGTAATGCGCCATGCATTCAACTACATTAAGTACTGTTGGAGGTGACTGAACGCATATCTGGCCTTTACAATGACTCGTGGTGGTCTACAGATGTGTCGAGCCAGTGCTGCTATCCTCCCAAACAAGTCTGGTACCAATTTGCCGACCCCGGAGGGATGGAGAGCTTGGTGGGCCATGGGTGCGGGGATAGATTCCACGTGTGTGTCACAGTGGTGCCGCAAACCACTGCGCCACACGTACCCTTTACCACAAATGCTCAAATATTTCACTACTCCCACATTTGTCTCATGACAAATATTCTTTTGATACACCTATACGTATGCCTTTCACTAGTGCTTAATAATGAATCTATATTTAAGAACATCTTCGCAGAGATGGGAAGCAGTAACTTCGATGCAATAGTAGTAATAAAAACAGTAGTAGTAGTAATAATAGTGGTGGTATAGCGGTGGATGAATGATGTAAGTTCGGGGAGAGTCTATTGATGAATAAATGGCATTGTCTTTATCAGTTATGCTAATCCTCGTCTGAGGAATTCATTGACTGGAGAGGCATTCGGTGAATACATTTTATTATCGTGGCACCGCAATGTTTCCTTCGCGACAAAACCCAGTTTTCGAATTGCATTTGAATCAGCGCATTTCGTCTTAAGTGTGCTAAAGCTAGCAGGCTACGAAGCTATGAGAATGTGGACTGTTCATTGAATTCATTCATATCGGCTAGTGACAGTTCGTGATTTCGAAATTGAAGGTTCACGTAGCAAAAAGGGTCTGAGCACAATGAATAGTAGAAAATACTCTTAAATCATTCTCAGCGGGACCTACAGTGACAACACACGGAACATTCCCAACTGAATTTGCAATAAAGCTATAAGCTATTCGGTACCTGTATAAGTAACTTGCTTAGGTTTTTTCAAAATGAAATCATACAAAGGTGAATAGTGCTGCAAACAGCCAAGCAACATAGAAAAGCTCTAAAAGCGGTCGGCGTTGATCAGTTCTTGAGGGCTGCGTCATGCGCCTTGCATACAACTAAGTTAGAGGTGATTGAGCGCATTTCTGGCCTTTACAATGACTCGCGGTGGCCTACCGATGTATCCCGAGCCATTGCCGCTATCCACCCAGACAATTTTGGTACCAGTTTGCCGCCCCAGAGGGATCGAAGGCTTTGTGAACCTAGGGCGCAGAGATTGATCCCATGTGTATTGCAGGGTGCGTCTTACTACTGTGTTACACGCGCCGATCGAAGCAACACGGGCAAAGAAAGATATTCACTGATTTATTTGCCACTGATATTCTGTTAAGCGTTTTATCGTTTCCATTTACACTTTCATCACATTTCTTACCTTTGTTTGGAAGATGATTTGATTGCCTTCTTTCCATGTTTCTGTTCTCAGAGTGTCACCAGGAATCACACGCGATGAAAATCGTACCTAGAATAGGATGACTAAAAATGTAGAAAATTTAACATGAATTTAAAACAAGTGCAATACTTCAGTCTTTTTTGTTGAAAGACATTTTCGAATACAACACAGAGTTTGAGAACATGCACTTTTCCTTTTTTAAAATCAATATTGGTTGATTTAAAGCTGGATTATGAACCGACTTTGAGAGCCTTTATTCTGCTAGCGTCATTCTCAGCCCATCCACTTATCACGTGCCTGATAGAGAATGCCATAGAGCAGAGACCGTGTAGAATAGGTTTCTCGAGACCGGACATCTTTTAAAAAAAATCAATGCTACATTTTTGAAATCGATTGTAAGAATTCCATGATTTCGCTGAAAGCCAGCGAATTACCGGCATTGAAACAACAATGATCATATAGTTGATCGTTTCAGTTCCAAACAATTTTTATCGCATATCATATCACCTTAGCGAATGCCGGATCGATATGTAGTGGATTGAGGTCACCGGAACCGATTCTGTAGATTGCTGCCTTAAAATGCATTTCCATGATTTGAAAAGTAAAGTGACTAACCCTACAACACTGAGTGCTACTTGGCTGCTCCTTTTATAGCAGTTCATAAGTCATTATACCTGATCAGTAGAGGTTTTCTCTTCGAATACAGCATCTGGAAGTCGTGGAGGTACTTCAGCGCCGGGTTTCTCGTGAACACTACTACGAGGACCGCCAAAATTTCCCGATCCAACTTGGAATGTGCACACTTGTTGCAGAGCCAATTTTCTGCCAGTTGTTTCGTCATATGTTGTAACTGAAGGAAAAAAAACATTAAAAAGATGAAAAAAACTGAGAACGACTTTTCCTCTGTGGTCGAAACGACAAAGCTTTCTATATGTGGCTAGCTATGTATGGCACACTTCTTTCTAGAAGTTTATGGGATCTTTGCCATTATATTTGACGAAAACGAGGAAGGATCTAGTGACATTGCCTGCCATCAAAATGATAAAAGGCTAATGAAGGAAATCTGAAGGCTAATAAATAGACATCATGCATTACAAGTAATATTACAACGACCAAGTCGAAATGTCGTTTCATGATTTGTCGATCTTACGGAGAACCATGTAAATTTGAAGAAAGAACTTCTTTTGCTGTTGCATGATAGTTTTTCACGAAATAAGTTAATGAGACATAGAATTTTCATTGTTTAACAATCCGTCACGAACGAGGGGATGATTGTAGCGAACCTTTTACTGAACCGGGCAGTCATCGTTGATCAGAGAAAACAATTTGAGCGAATTTTCCACCAGAATGTGCATTAGTGGAGCGCGTTCAGAGCAGTGGTTATAGAGGTGTTCTACAATGCATACGTGGCCCTTGCTTCGAACCAGAAACCGGGTTCATCAAGTTTTCCATCTATCCAGGTTGGCAAACTGGTACGAAATATGTCTGATAGGATAAAAGTCTGGGCTTGATACATCAGCAGACCATCGCAAAACAAGGCGTGCATTTATTCATCTCTACGATCTCGATGAAGTCGAATTTATTGCGCATTCCTAAGCGGCACCAAGCTCGATGTCTTTTTTTATGCTCACTATATGATTGTTTTAGTTACTAAATACCATATCTTTAACATGAGTCAAAGAAAAAGTGTTCCGCAGAACTGAAATCACCTTACCTTCGAATAACATAAGCGCGCCCGATCCTTTGTCGAGGATGTCGACGATGCGCGTCTCAGAGCGTAAGTTCGCTTCCGACGGTAATTCCTCGTAGATTTCGATGTACTGTTCTCCATGAAGAAGTCTCGTGTAATCGAACTGGATTCCTGAGTGACAATTTGCTTAACAAAAATTTCAAACATTTATAGTACAGTTGTTTATTGCACTTGATACTTGATACTTGAACGACCCGTCCTCACTAGTTGTGCGGGCCCAGCATATTCACCATTTTTCTGGTTAAGGCATTGCAGGTCTCTGGAATCCCGAGGACAACCCGGCCAAAGTCTGTCCCAAGTCGTTACCACGACAGGCCGTCGCATCCCTTGTGGATCAGAGGGCGATTTGCCACCATGCGACTTTGATACCAGGACGGTGGTGGCTAGGCTTCCTGATGAAAATGCCGGACTCCTTCTCAGCTTGGGAAACCCTGCCAGGGGATGGATCCTCCCGCTGTACATCGCAGTCCGACATCCAGGAACACCTCCCAGCCACGATGAAGCGGCAAACCGTTGTTAGGGTTGCTTATTGCGCCCTATTTTAATCAGAAAATGAAACAACTCAAGTACTATTGACAGCGAAGCAGTAAGCAAATGCAAATAGAATTATCACGGTATGTTAAAAAACAGAAACTTGCAAACACTCTTAAAAAAGGAATGGGAAAATGGCGAAATTTCACAATTTCGACGTGCTATAACCCAAATATTTGAAAAGACAACTGAATCCTAACAAGTTTGTTGATACCTTTCTGTAAGTGACTATACCTGGCCAATCCACAGCACCAACAGCTCTAAGACCAGGAACGACTATAAAAGTCGGCAATGGTAGAAAATTTTCCGACATCTCATACACATAACGGAGGTCGGCTCTTACTTTAGCACCAACTAAATACGATTGAAAAAAAAAACTAAAGTCGTAGTACATAAAGTTTATTAAGACGATTATTATTGACTAAGTAAATAAGAAGAAAACCAATCAAAAACAGATTCTTCCATTTCAATTTCTTACCACCTAGTGCATAAATGATCACATCTTTTGTGGTGTACTGAAAAAAGTCCGGAGGAGGAATGTGAGCTTTCGCTACGGTTGGTTCCATTTTTGGGCGGACGAATGAAGGTAGTGAAGATTCGAAGTAACGACTAAAAACTGCTGAAAGAAAAAGTTATGTAATCTGTGACAGAGATCCTTGAATTCACTTTCTATTAACCTCGGCATTGAGTTTTAAATGCGTCGTTTCCTTTTTCAGCAACCGCGAGGTTGTTATACAGCACATGTTCACTTCCATACAAAAACACACATACAACACAACGGTAGCTGACGCTTTGGGAGTATTGCCTTCTTCAGAGTCGTTTTTACGTGGCTTCCTCTTGGGAAGAACCGCTGGTCAAAGTCCCATATGGTTGACGCATTGGTTCAACCCATGCCCAGGGTTCACCAAGCGTCTCGCCGCTCCAGTGTGGAAAAATTTGTGCCATGCTTGGCTAGAAGATAGCAACACTGACTTAAAATATGTTAGGCTACCCAACAGATATGCATCCAATCACCTCTAGTGATCCTCGACGAAGCTAAATGCATGGCGTATCCCTCAGGGATTGACGAACGCTGAGCACTCTACCCTTTCCCCTGTGGTAGACGGCTTCTTCAAGGATGTCATGTTTTCTAAAGAAAAAAACACAGCAAATCATAAGGATGCTGAGATATAAGCAAAACTCGGAACATCAGATGAGCTTAGATCCAGCGACTATCGTTAGCCGTTCTCACGTGCTATATGCGACACTAATCCACCAATCGAGGCCTTTGCTTTGCCTTTCTCTCAGCCATGTTTCAAAAACTATATGCTATATTTATGCTCGCACGTTTTACAAGAGCTCAGCTACACAGTACCCTAACTTATGCAATCATCATCTCTACTGTTAGGATTACTCCCGCAGTACTGCTTTGTACATAATGCACTAGCACAACACTTCAGACTTATCTTTTAATCTGAAGAAAGCACACTCTTCACACAGATAAGCTTCTCGCGGTTGGTCTCTATCACTCTATCATGTGGAAGACTCAAAAACCTCCACGACCTGTTGTTTAAGCATTTTTGTTTACTACTTATTCTTTTACCACGGTAGGGTATGACGTGAAATACAATCACGACAATACTAAGATATGAGTAAAACTCGGAGCTTCAGATTGGCTATTAAAATGAGTAGCCCCGTCAGAGTCCGCACAAAGGAACACCTAGATGGTTAGTAATGAGTTATGCAAAATGCTCCACTAGGTGCGTGCAGGGATAGGCACATAACGCGTAAGATTTTGACGTGGAAGTCTCCACCGTCGCACAGAAAACTAAAATTCGAACGCGTAAAACCTTCGAGACATTTTGTATAAATTTCAAAAGTCCAAAGATAAACCGTAGCAGGAACCAATGCCTCGTTGTCATGCGTGCTCTTGAACAATATCTCATAAATAAAAAGGATAAAGCTCTTAACGTTGATCGATCCCTGACGGACGTGCCATGCATTCGACTTCATGAAGTGTCACTGGAGGTGATCGAATGCATATTTGGCCTTTACAATAACTTTCGGTGGCTTACCGATGTATCGAGCCAATACTGCTACCCTCCCAGACAGGTCTGGTATCAATTCGCCGAGTCCGGATGGATGGAGGGCTTGGTGGATCTGGGGCACGGGTATTGACCCCATGTGCATTGCAGGGCACCTCCGACCACAGCGCTACACACGCCCTCACAATGTACCATGCAGATTTTATTAACGCGAGAGAAGTGAAAAACCCACCCAACTGGTTGGTCTGCACCAATAACTGGAATACCTGTAGAGAACGATGAATGTTTAAAGAAGCTATTTACTATGCGACTGAAATATATGTTTCGAGTTTCTTCTAATGAGGATATTCAAGCATTCCCAAGTAGACTGCATACTAATTTGACTTCCCAGATTCTGATGAGGGCAAAAACCGTTAGAACGTTAACCATTGTCGAACAAACAGACAAAGACACAATTTACTTCTCAATTACTTAGGAAGTATAACGATGAACTGACAAAAATGGTGTACTCATTGGGACTTCTCCTGAGAGAAGGAAATTGTGAATGTACGCAAATATATCCAAATATTTGTGGATATATATCCAAATGTATATATATATATATATATATAAACATACACGTGTACGTTTAAAAAAAAGGTAGTACGCTAGAGAAAAATTGGGTGATGGCTTGACACTGGCTGATCAATTGAAGAACTGATAGGCGAACTGTTATCAGTCGAGCATCCTATACTATTGTCAGTGATGATGGGGCAGCATTGCTTACGTGATAACAAAAACCACCGATAACAGAAATACGGTGTATTCTTCTTATTCCTTCTGATTTTTGCAGTGAATCCCGAAGATCGACTTTCTATTAACCTCGGCATTGATTAGTAATCTGCTGTTTTCTTGTTAATCCCACACGAGGTTGTTATTATACTCTGCATTCAGAAAAGCCGATGTTTCAGCAGATTTCTTCATCTTCAAGGCCTGGAAAGGTCTACAGTGAATGTTTGCTTCTACAACTAACACGCTAAGCGTGTACCATCGACTCGGATCATCGGCTCTGATGAAGACCAAGACGACGAAAAGTTAGTCGAAAATAAACATCATTATCAACCTCGTGTAAGCTCATCAAAGAAAGAAAACATATAACACGCTTTCGTTACCCAGAGCACTTTTGTGTACCTGATGTGTACAAGTAGCGTACGGCTCAAGCGGTCGGTATCATTGCTTTTATGTAATGATCGAGGAAGAACACCACAAAGGAGACATTTCTTGGCGGTCATCTCTTGTATTTTATCGTTAAGGGAATATGATGGCCTTAAAGATGATGAGATGGTGGAGATATGCCTAATAAAAGAAATCAATCGTCAATAGAAACATACCTGAAATGATTCAAACATGAAAATCGTATCAGCATCGTCGGAGGACACAAAATTCACACGACGCAGAAATAAAAAAGTTCAGAAGCACGTCTCGTAATATATCCCTCGACCGACTTTCTATTAACCTCGGCAATGATCAAATAATTTCTTATATTCTTGTTGAGCAAACGCGAGGTGTAATTTTATTCTTATTCAAGAACAACCTGAGGTTTCGGCAAATTTCGCTTTCCTCAGAGCCCGGAGAGGTCAACTGCAATCTATCCAGCAAAACGCTTCCATAACCAAAGGGAGAAAATGCTAAACCAAGATTTCATTCACATTGACACACAATAGCTTCCTCGCAAACTCACAGCTCTATGAGTCTTCCACTGAACAGCTACTGGCATCAAACCTTGCCATTGCATTTATGTCTAAGGTGGAAGCACCAGCAGCCTATCTCCGGCCGTTACTCTACTGTGGATGTATAGATGATCGCTCTGTCATTTGCTCAGCACAAAAAATAGGCAGATGTTTTGAGTTGTTGAACAAACAGTCAGAATATATCAAGTTCACCCGAGAAAAAACGAGAAAACTGGTTTCCATTTCCGAAGGTCCAAATTAACCTGTCCGAAAACGGCTGCACTACGAAGTGGTACCAAAAGCCAAGTAGTGAAAACAACTTGGTTCATTATCTCTCCTCTCACCCTTCTTACACGAAATGGGCACTTGTGAAAAACCTGTTTCGAACAAAGGAGGTACCCCGGAAAGTGGTTCGGGAAATAGCCATTTCCAATGACTACGAAATTGTAGCTCCTCGCGATAGGTGTAGAGGAAGGCCCCAGTCTCCAAACGATAACTCTGGCAATAATAAGGTCCCGTTTATCTTGCACTTCTTCTCAAACGAACTGGGTGGAGCTATAACACTTTGCTTAATAAAGGCCGTTTTAGAGAATTTGGTAAGAATAATCCAAATACCAAATAGCACTCTAAGAAGCTAACTAGTTCGCAACCTCCTGTATGACCGTCTATATGGAACGAAAAATTGCATAATTTGCTCCATCGACAGAGAAGGTGATTGCATGAGTTCGGATACAGTTTATCTGATCTCTTGTAAAACGTGCGGAGAAGGAAATGCTGGGGAAACAGTTAGGCCACTTTGCGTCCGTATAGAAGAACACCTAGTCGGTAAACTTGAAGTTAAACCAAGTATCCTATTAGGCACGCATAGGACACCGAAACATAACGGAGAAGATTTGAAGTAGAAGAGACGATCCTTGCACAAGAGTCGAAAATACAAGCGAGCAAATTCTTGAGGCATTCTGAATTAACTGCAAGAATCCGAAAATGAACCGCAAGGAGGAATGCTTCACCATCATGCGTGATATTGGGAAACATTTATGACTGGTGTTTTGAAGTGAGAGGGACATTACACTTCCATGCATACTCTGTACGATCGGTCTGCTCGTAATATATTTAGTGGAAGACTCATAGAAAGCGGTGAGTATGCGACGAAGTCATTCTGTGTTCAATGTGATTGAAAACTTGGTTTAGCATTTTCTGCGTTTGGTTATGGAGGTGTTTGGCTGGGTAGATTGCAGCAGTCAGCTTGACTTTTCCGGACTCTGAGGAGAGCTAAATCTGCCGAAGCATCAGCTTTTTCTTGAATAAAGAATAAAATAACGCGTCGCGTTGCTCAACGAGAATGTTAAGAGTTCTAAAGGAGTTGTTTCCAGTACTATGATACAATTGAACTTGTAACAGAATGGAAAATAAATGTACTTCGAGAAAATCGATTAGAAGAAAATCGATTCCAGATCTTAATTGTGAAGAACCCACTCAACAGATTTAAAAATATACTCTTGCATGTTTGCAATTTCAAGAAAAACTCGCTGAAATAATGAAATCGACATTTTGAGAAAAGAAAGGCATGTATATAAAGAATCTACTATAACTAGTAAGCTTGCAGTTGAAGTTTAAGATGGATCAGATTTCTGGAGTCTTTTTTATTTTACTCTATGTCTTTCTGTTTGATTCTTTCTGTCAAAAAAGAAAAAATACTTCTTTATCATTACTTCACACATTTTTCCCACCATAATGAGAATATAACGAGAATTCGACTACAACCGTAGCAGATCCTCTCACATAGTCATTCCACAGAAGGAGTTAAATTGGCTCGTTGCTGTGACTCCGTAT